ACTGAGTAGACTGGGATTATACTCATTGGAATTCAGAAGAATGAGGGGAGATCTTATAGAAACATAAGATTATGAAGGGAATAGATAAGGTGGAGGCAGGGAGGTTGTTTCCGCCAGCAGGTGAAACTAGGACTAGAGGGCATTGCCTCAAAATAAAGGGAAGCAGGTGTAGGACTGAGGTCAGGAGGAACTTCTTCACCCAAAGGGTTGTGAATCTGTGGAATTCCCTGCCCAGTGAAGCGGTTGAAGCTACCTCGCTGAATGTTTTTAAGGCAAGGCTAGATAAATTTTTGAACAGTAAAGGAATTAAGGGTTATGGTGAGTGGGTGGGTAAGTGGAGCTGAGTCTCAAAGATCAGCCATGATCTTATTAAATGGCAGGGCAGGCTCGAGGGGCCAGATGGCCTACTCTTGCTCCTAGTTCTTATGTTCTTATTTACAAAGCAATTTACTTGGCAAAAGAGCCAGGTGGGAAAGAGGGAAATTTTATGGTATGCACACTGTAACATGCTGTCTGGAGGGAAATGGAATCAGGTTAAATTAATACTTTCAATATGATTGTTTCTCCATGTATTTCTCTAGTAACATTTTGCAGGGTGTTCTGGGAAAGACAAGGGATAAGACCATTGTTCAAATTAGAATCATAGAATCCCTACAGTGTGGAAATAGGCCCTTCGGCCCAACAAGTCCACAGCAACCCTTGGAGCATTCCTCGCAGACTCATCCCCCTATAACCCACACACCCCTGAACACTATGGGCAATTTAGCATGGCCAATCCACCTAGCCTGCACATCTTTGGACTGTGGGAGGAAACCGGAGCACCTGGAGGAAACCCACGCAGACATGGGGAGAACGTGCAAACTCCGCACAGACAGTCGCCCGAGGCTGGAATCAAACCCGGGTCCTTGGCGCTGTGAGGCTGCAGTGCTAACCACTGAGGCCGCCCTGAGGGCCAAGGGCCAGCACAGGCACAATGGGACATGAGCCTCTGTCTATGCTGTATGATAGAACAACTGCAGAAGGATCTGTGCACATCTTTTGTGGCCAACAGTTACTCCAGGATGCAGGGTGACCATTCTTGAGAATGAAGAGTGAGGGGTGCTCTCAGTCCCACAGCAGAGTCCATATTCCATTATACATTGAGGATCTCCCCACCAACCTCTGTTAAACACAAAGGCACACCTCCCACAACACTGTCATTGAACAAATTAACCTGAGGTAATGATTTCTGCTGCAATTCACACATTATAGCCAGGATTTCAGTTAAACAGACACCTTTATTTTATATGTTCTGTACAGTTGGGTGACAGAGATCACTTTAATAACCCTCCTATATTTCAAACAAGCTGTGCACCATTTCAAATTTACAGCACAAAACCAATGAATACAAAATGAATGGGTGTGGCTGCCCAGAGACCGAGGGCTCGATGTCGGAAGCAGCTTCACTCCCAAGGCTTGGCTCACAGACGCAGCCAGTACATGGCGCTCCGGATTCGATTATAATCTGGTAACTGCTCAATTGGACCTGCCGGAGACAGAGATAGAAGTCAGTGAATAAGTCGGCACATTGCAACCAACAGGAGCAGAAACATCAATCTGAGTGATACCAGAGTCCAGGCTTGGCACTGCTGTGCCGTTCCCCAAGTCTAATTTAAAAAACAAGCTGAAACAACGTGGTTCCTATGATCAGAAGTGACGGAGTGATGCAGTGGTAATGTCACTGGGCTAGTAATCCAGAACCCCAAGTAATGTCCCGGGGGCCTGGGTAAAAATCCCAGATGGCAGAATGTAAAATTTGAATTCAATTAAAAAAATGGAACAAGAAAGGCCTGTTAATGGTGACCATGTAACCAATGTCAATTGTCAGTAAAAACTCATCTGGTTCTCTCATGTCCTTTAGGGAAGGAAACTGCCATCCTCACCTGGTCTGGCCTACATGTGACTCCAGACCCACAGCAATGTGGTTCACTTTTAAACTGCCCTCTGGGCAATTAGGGATGGACAATAAATACCAGTCTAGCCAGCAACATCCTCATTCCATGAATGAACAAACAAGGAGTGTTTGTGACTCTCAGACCATCACCAACCTCTGTAGTTCAAGCAGCTTCATGGATGACGAGTCCTGCCTACACCCACTCCCCCTCCCTCCCCCAGTCACCCCCACTTCCAAGGCACCACACTGGCTTGGAAGAGGTCATGAACCCTCCTTAAGAGCAAAAGAACCCTCAAAATGGAAAAACATTTTAGTCAAAACAATAAACTCCGCCAGCAAATAATCTGAAACCAGACAGCTGAAAGCAGCAATTCCTGAAAAGACTTCCACATCTCTCTGTAGCAGTTTACAATCACTAGACCCTCTTGCATCCACACTATGGGTTTTATTAGCCACACTCTTACCGTTCAAACAGGGCATGACTTGGCACTGGACTCACCCTCTCATTATGGCTTTGCAAAGCTTCCTTGGACTTGCTAAACAACTCCGCACGTGTAGGCACTAAAGCACAGGCACTGAGCTACGGCTGCTGAATTACTGCTCAAACAGAAGGATTGAACTTACCGACTGCAGCAACAGCAGGACATTTGTCATAGATGTACCGGGTACAAACATCACGCAACTTCTGGGCGTCAACAGCCTGTTCCAGAAAACAGTACAAAATCAGTTGTGTGTGTGGGATAAAAGGGCAATGATACTGAAGGCAACTTGAGCACGAGTGAAGCAACTTAGATACAGCCCATTCATCAGCAATGATGCAGTGAGACCCACGGGGCCCCCCACCCCCCACACACCGACTCTCACTGGGGTACGGGG